AGCCTTGCCGTACTCCTTTCCCAATTTTGAACCACTCAGTTGTTCCATGACCAGTTCTAACTGTTGCTTCCTGTCCAACATATAGGTTTTTCAGGAGATAGATAAAGTGGTCAGGCACTCCCGTTTCTTTAAGAACTTACCATAATTTATTGTGGTTGACACAGTCAAAGGCTTTTGCGTAGTCAATGAAGCAGAAGTAGATGTTTTCTGGAACTCTCTGGCTTTCTCCATAATCCACTGCATGTTAGCAATTCAGTCTCGAGTTCCTTTGCCCCTTCGAAATCCTGCTTGTACTTCTGGGAGTTTTCAGTCCACATACTGCTGAAGCCTACCCTGTAGGATTTTGAGCATAACCTTGCTAACGTGTGATATGAGTGCAATTGTACGGTAGTTGGAGCATTCTTTGGCACTGCCCTTCTTTGGGATTGGGATGTAGGCTGGTCTTTTTCAGTCCTCTGGCCACTGCCGAGTTTTCCAAACTTGCTGGCATATTGAGTGTAGCACCTTAGCAGCAGCATCTTTTAAGATTTTAAATAGTTCAGCTGGAATGCCATCACCTCCGCTGGTCTTGTTGTTAGCCATGCTTTCTAAGGCCCACTTGACTTTGCTCTCCAGGATGTCTGGCTCAAGGTCAGCAACCACACTATCTGGGTTGTCCGGGACATCCAGATCTTTCTGGTATAATTCCTCTGTGCATTCTTGCCACCTCTTCTTGATGTCTTCTGCTTCTGTAAGGTCCCTACCATTTTTGTCCTTTATCACATCCATCTTTGCACAAAATGTTCCTTTAATATCTCCAGTTTTCTTGAACAGATTTCTGGTTTTCCCCTTTTTGTTATTTTCCTCTATATCTTTGCACTGTTCATTTAAGAAGGCTGTCTTGTCTCGCCTTGCTATTCTTTGGAAGTCTGCATTCAATTTTCTGTAACTTTCCCTATCTCCCCTGCGTTTTGTTTCCCTTCTCTTCTCTGCTATTGTAAGGCCTAGTTGGACAGCCACTTAGCTTTCTTGCATTTTCTTTTCTTTGGGATGGTTTTTGTTGCTGCCTCCTGTACAATGTTATGAGCATCCATCCATAGTTCTTCAGGCACTCTGTCCACCAAATCTAGTTCCTTACATCTGTTCTTCACTTCCATTGTGTATTCATAAGGGATTTGGTTTAGATTATACCGGTTAGCCCAGTCTGTAATACAAGGGGGTGCTGATAAGTATTGACCCTTTCCCAGAAAAATTTGAGCTAGGAAGCTATAAATTGCAGGGTGTATTGGCCAATTCGTCTGTATTCAATGGTCAAAAATCAACTACCTATGATCTTAACTTATCTTTCACGTTCAGGTCCAAAGTGAACATGGCAGCACCTCCAGAAAATTTCAGTGAGGAAGAGCATAGGACCATAATCAAGTTCCTGTTTCTCCAAGGGAAAGGTGCAAAGCAGATCCATAATGAAATGTCACAAATGATGGGTGACAGTGGCCCTCCATATGCGACAGTTAAACATTGGGTTGTCAATTTTAAAACGGAACATTTCGGTGTTGAAAGTGAGAAACCCAGTGAAAGGTCTGTTTCTGTTTCTGTGCCTTCAAATGTGAAACCCATCCATGACATGATCATGGAGGACTGCCGAATATCAGACAAAAGTATTGCTATACAGTATATTTGAGAATATCTCGTGAAAGAGTTAGTGCCATTATCCACAACGACTTGGAAACAAGAAAGCTGGCAGCACAGTGGATCCCCAAACTTTTGACAACCGAACACAAGAGGAATCGTGTGGAGTCATCGGTGGCTGTTTTGGAACATTTTGCAAGAAATGAGTCAGATTTCCTGCGCAAACTAGTAACTGGTGATGAGACATGGATCTATTGTTATGATCCTGAGACAAAGGAACAGTCTAAGGAATGGAGGCACAGTGGTCCCCCCGGGCCAAAGAAGTTCTGAGTGCAAAGGTCGGTGCAGAAACAAATGGCAACAATTTTTTGGGATAAGACTGGAGTTCTGCTGTAAGATTGGAGTTCTGCTGGTAGACTACCTCCAACAGGGTTCAACCATCAATGCTTTATTGATGAAGTTGAGCCAAACATCAAGGAAAAAACTTCGAGGAAAGCTCTCCAAAGGTGTCATCCTGTTGCATGACAACACCTCATCACACAGTGCAAGTGAAACAATGGCAAAACTGACATCCTTAGGCTTTCAAGTGATGCCCCATCCACCCTATTCTCCCGACCTGGCTCCTTCTGATTATTATCTGTTCCCCAAACTCAAAAACACCTAAAGGGGCAACAATTTGGGAGGCAACTATTACTGCAAATGAGTGGTTACACCAGCAGTCGGAAGAATTTTATTTGCAGGGACTTAAGAAGCTGCAGGACAGATGTCGCAAGTGCATTGTCTTCCTGGGGGAATACGTAGAATAGTGTGGCAGTTACTGCTTCCTAGCTCAATTTTTTTGTGGGAAAGGCTCAATACTGATCAGCACTCCCTCATAACCAGTTCAGATGTTTAGCCACTGATTATTACAGACTGGACTAACAGGCTGTTTCTTCCTTTTGCACAAGGCCTCTTCATACTACTTTTCAACAGCTTACACCTAAAAATTTGAGTGCAATAGGCAGATGGCTGAAAACATATTCATGTGAGGGATACACTTATCAGAAATCTATAGTGGGCTGTAATACACTGTCTTGAGTGTATCTTTGCTGGCAAACTGCTTTTTATCTGCATTTAGCAAAGAGAAGGGAAATAAAGAAAAGACACAACAGAAACAATGAGCACAGATTTGCCAGTGAGTTTCAGTGGAACAGCTTTTCCACAGGTCTTACTTGTGTTCCTCTTTGCTGTTTCCAAATCTCTAGTATCCATGCAGAAAGGATGGAGTTTACAGGATTAGAATTGTTGCTGAAGGTGAATACCAGATCAGCTCATGTAACAACACTCTATCCTGAGAGCAAACAACAAGAAAACATGGACGATCGAAAGTAAAACAATCATTGTTTCTGTGTGTTTTCTTTTACACTGACTTGTAGATCTAAGATAGGTGGCAACACTTTTTTTAAACCTAAAACTCTCTAAATCACTATTGAATTAGTATTAAAGTACAAATGCCCTGATGGTGATATCTTTCTTCCACCAAACATGAATTTTCCAAAACACAGTCATGGTTAGATTGATCACTATCAGAAAGGAGATTTTTCTGTTGCTAGATGTGAATGTGGTTGGTCTCATCTTTATTTCCTAGTAGATGGGAGAAAAAAATCCAAATGTCTCTATACTCCATTCTATTTGTTGTATAAGAGATATGTGCTTTTTAGAGCCTTACTAATCCTGCTTTGATGGTTGTTGATTAATTTTATTTTATTTATTTTATTTTTGTTTCTCTTGCTTTCCCAGCACAATATGATGGTATGAACGGACTTAGTGAACTTGTTATTGAAAGAGTATCTAAGGAGGACTCAGGTACTTACGTGTGTACAGCAGAAAACCTGGTTGGTTCTGTCAAGGCTCTCGGATTTGTATATGTTAAAGGTACGCATTAGTAAGGAAATATGATGTATTTGACAACAGTATTAAAGGTAATGAGATGAAATAATGGAAATGGATTGTTCATCTTATAAAAAATACAAAGTACTTTATGCTCATCAACATGATGAGAAAGGAAACCTCTTGTTCAAACAGAGTTTCTTACACATTTTTAATTTGTTGAATTTCTTACAATTCAGAATGATAAGCTGACTGGCCTCAAAATAATTTTCAATGCTAAGTTCTATGTTTCAACATATTTCAAATTAATGTTGAGTACATTAGATGTGTGAACTTCGGCTTTCATTTGGACCCACAGCAACTGAACTTTTTTCCCCCACAGAGCCTCCAGTTTTCATGGGAGACTATCATTCCAGTCGGATTGAGCCCCTTGGCGGCAATGCTATTCTCAACTGTGAAGTCACAGGAGACCCACCACCAACTATCCAATGGAGCAAAAAAGGAGTTGTTATTCAGATCAGCAACCGAATCAGACAACTCAACAATGGATCCCTGGCCATCTACGGCACAGTAGTATGTCATTATTTATATATAGATTGCATAAATTAAATCCAGCAGGAATCAGTTTTATAGAGTTGATTACAATTATGCAGGATTTAGCTATCATATTTGTATGACAAATTCCTTTTGAGAAGATTGAGGGCATATTAAGGACTATCCCATTTATCTTCATAACAAACTAAGGACTTGTGAATTAGTGATAAGCTAGAGTTATATCAAATTGGTATAGTTCAGTTGGTTGAAGCATCTGACTGCAAATCCATAGATCAGGAGCTCAAATCTCCACAGTGCCTTCCAGGATTCATCTACAGTGGTGCACCACATGACAACGATAATTCGTTCCATGAAAATCGCTGTTTAGCGAAATCATCATCTAGCGAAAACAGTTTCCCCATTGAAATGCGTTGAAACCCGTTTAATGCATTCCAATGGGGAAAATACCTCGTCGTCCAGCAAAGATCGCCCATAGGGAAGCCATTTTGCGACCGCCGATCAGCTGTAAAAATGGCTGTCCTGCAAAGCATGGGTCTGGAAAACACAGGGCAGCCATTTTGCGAAGCCGACGATCAGCTGTAGAAATCATCGTCTTGCTAACAAACAGTCTGCAAAGCACGGACCAAATCAACATCCAGCGAAAATTGCCCATTGAAATCACTGTTTTGCGAATCGCTATAGCAATCGCAAAACGTCATCGTTGTTTGGCGGGGTCATCTAGTGACGTACCACTGTATGCCAGTTGACAACACCTGGAGTGTATGTGGCTGATAATGGGGGTCATTACATGTCTTGCTAGCTGTGTGGCCTTTGGCAAGCTGCATAATTCCATACTGCCACCAAAAGGAGCGACTGGTAAACCATTTCTGAGAACTCAATGCCCAGAAAATCATTAAAAGTCAGATTTTGCTTAAATTTTTAAAATTTAAATAGTAATATGTATTAGGGACGTGGTGGCGCTGTGGGCGAAACCGCCGAAGCCTGTGCTGCAGGGTCAGAAGACCAAGCAGTCGTAAGATCGAATCCACGCAACAGAGTGAGTGCCCGTCGCTTGTCCCAGCTCCCGCCAACCTAGCGGTTCGAAAGCATGCAAATGCAAGTAGATAAATAGGGACCACCTCGGTGGGAAAGTAACAGTGTTCCGTGTCTAAGTCGCACTGGCCATGTGACCACGGAAAATTGTCTTCGGACAAACGCTGGCTCTATGGCTTGGAAACTGGGATGAGCACCGCCCCCTAGAGTCGAACACGACTGGACAAAAATTGTCAAGGGGAACCTTTACCTTTACCTTTAATATGTATTATTTATATTTCTTATATATTTTATTCTCTTATGCATATAATATACTGTTCTACTGTTTCCCAAAAGTACAGATGAGTGAAAATTTCAAGCTATAAAATGAAATTCTATCGAAATTTGCAAATTTCTTTATTTTTCGGGTAGAAAGAATTTGAAGATTAATCCCTTCTTCTTATATATGGTAGAACTTGAAACTGGTAAATTTGTTCATGGATAAATTTGGATGTTTGATTCATAAAAGTCTGGGTTTTAATCCTCTTCTACTAGACCATAAGTTAATGTACTGATTTAGAGTTGCCAGCTCTTTCTTTCTTAGAGGCTCCTTATCTTTTACACCTATATGGCACGAAGGTACAACATATCCACTTCATGCTGCAAACTTACCTATTGAGTTTGGCCAGTGAAACTAGTGGAAAATTCTCTTTTAGTTGAATTTTGAGGAATTTATCACAATTTTCAAATTTCTTCATATATAGGATAGAATGTTTTAAACAGTCTGAATGTAAGAGAGCAAAACAGAGATTCTCATATGCATCAGTACAAACATATTGTTTCCTTTCTGTTTTCCCAGATTATCATCCCAGGTCTTGATATATTATAGCACCATAGTAACATATTTTAGCTCAGTTGTTTAGATATCTGGCTATGGAGGCAGAGTCTGGGAGTTCAATTGCATACTGCACCTCCTTGACAGGGACTGGAATCGATGATCCATAGGGTCCCTTCCAGCAATGCAGTTCATTCATTCATTCATTCATTCATTCATTCATTCATTCATTCGATTTATACCCTGCCCCCTTAGACACCGTCTACTCGGGACGGCAGTTCTAAGATTATTCATTTATTTATCTGTCTTTCCAGAATGAAGATGCAGCAGAATATACATGTGTAGCCACCAATGAAGCTGGTGTGGTTGAACACCATGTCACCCTAACACTACAGCGTAAGCTATAATTGTATTACTGTTATGGTATTAAAATAAAGAATTCTTGAAGTTGGAAGTGAAACCTAATGTTCAAATTAGATATAAAACAAAAATTTACATACATTTTAAATTTGGTGAATTTTCTAGTTTTATTTTTGCTAAATACAGCAGGACACACACCCCATATCAGCTGGGATTGGTTCTGAGCCCCATTGTGGATACTGAAAGCCATGGATAATAGAAAACTAGATAGATAGATAGATAGATAGATAGATAGATAGATAGATAGATAGATAGATAGATAGATAGATAGATAGATAGATAGATAGATAGATAGATAGATAGATAGAATATGGTAGATAGATAGATAGATAGCATGGTAAAATGGGGGAAGAGTTTTTCACATGCATTACCAGAACTGGCCACTAGAAGGAGCCAGAGACAATGCTATTTATTCTTCACTAACAAGAATTAATACCATGGTCTCTGGCTCCCCCTCTAGTGGCCAGTTCTGGAAGCACATATGGAAATAGTTATTTTCTGGAATTTTTTTCCTTTAATATTTTTAATATTTTCAGACCATGGATAAGTGAAATCATGGATGCTGATCCCATAGATACAGGGATTCTACTGTAATTTTTCTCTCTCCTTCTGATAAGCCATTAGTTTAGTCTCTCAGCACTGTGGTATTGTAGCCTACAGAGTATGATGGCTATATAGTGTGCTTCGCCATTCAGGGCTAAATCCTATCTTATCTGGAGTAAACTCATTAAAATAAACGAAACTTAAGTTCTATGAGCTGAACAAGTCCCATTCATTTAAGGGAGTCTACTCTGGATAGGACTAAAATCAGATTTGGCCTTTCATTTCAACAACAGAATTCCCATTTTAGATCTGCTTTCTTCCGTGATTTCCCTCAGCAGCTGCTACTCTATGCTAAGTAGAAAAAATCCACAGATTTTGAAGAAGGGGGCTGTAATGTCAGGCAGTGTAAGAGTCCCTCAAAAATAGTAGACACCAGGTATGTTTGAGCAATTCAGTGTATGTGGATTCCAGTAAGAATAGATCTGAGGCCATACTGCCTTGATGTTATTTGTGGAACAGAACATATTTAGCTTTTTCTGATTCAAGGATCTTTGAATTTTTCAGTGCTGTTCCTAACCCCCAAGGTGTATGAAAATATATGTAAAAACTTTTTTTGTATGAAATGTGGTTAACATTGCATACTTGAGACTGTGTCTAAAACTTGATGTGTCCTCCTTACTAAACATGGGCTATTCATATTCATATCCTCAGGGATATGAGTACGAATTTCAGTACCACAGGTGCCATGGAGGCCCATTCCCTCCCCCAATAACTGGCCAGTCCACTCACCATTTGTTGTGTGGCGCTCAGCTGTATTGTTGTTGTGCCAATTGCAGAAGGAGCCCAGCCAGCTCATCTGTGCCTCCACCGTGCAGCTGACCACTTCAACACAGAGGTGGGATAGGGAGTCTCCCCACTCAGCTGATGAGTGGTCAGTTGTGCGTGTAGGTGGGGAAGAGCCGGCCAGCCTTCTTCTGTGATTGGAGTGACGATGATGACAATGGAGTCGAGCACCTCACGGCAAATGGTGAGTGGACCAGCTAGTTCTGGGGGAAGAGAATGGGCCTCCATGGCACCTATGGTGCCGCGATTCATGAATAGCCTGTGTCTACTCCTTACTGCAGCACCTCAAACATTTCTGAAGGGATTGAAACTCATCAAAGCATGTTTTTGGCACCAGAGGGCTTGTCAAAGACAGAAAGGCAAATTTCTCCTGAAAGATATATTGCTAAAAGCATTCTTCCATTCCAGTGCCTTTGCATGTATATATGAAACACTGATGTATGCCTCTATTCTAACCTATAAGGCTAAAAAAATTATAGCTATCTAGAAACCTGACTAATGCAGAATGAATAATGCTGACATATATTTATACATCTTCAACTGTCACTTGTATTATTAAATATGAATGCAAACTTTAATCTGGAATCGATTGTAGGAATGTTTGTATTATATATCAGGGTTTGTAACCATGGTCAAAATTACCCTTAAATCTTGGAGAAAAATAATGTAACCAAGATAATTCTCAAGGTTATATAAACTATATTTAGAGACAGGAGTTCCTCCCGAGTGAGACTTCCCTGGGACAACGGTATGCGTGTGCAAGAAATCATTATTTTTAAACTGCCACCAAAAGGAGGAACTGATAAACAATTTCTTGTTATGCTTTTCTGCTGAACCTGACAGTAAATGTATTTACAGTGGTGCCTCGCTAGACGATGATAATCCATTCCACTGAAATCGCTGTTTAGTGAAATCATTGTCTAGCGAAAAGCGTTTCCCCATTGAAATGCATTGAAACCTGTTTAATGCGTTCCAATGGGGAAGAATCGTCGTTGTCTAGCGAAGATCGGCCATAGGAAAGCCGCTTTGCGAACCGCCGATCAGCTGTTTAAATTGCTGTCTTGTGAAGCTTAGGTCCCGAAAGCACCTGTTTTGCGAGCGTGGAGAGAGCTGTCAAAATCGTCATCTAGTGAAAATTGGTTTGCGAAGCAGGGACCAAACATTGTCCAGCGAAATTCCCCCATAGTAATCACTGTTTTGCGAATCACTATAGCGATTGCAAAAAGTCAATGTCTAGCGAAAAAACTGTTATGCGGGGTAACTGTTTTGCAAGGCACCACTGTACTTTACAGTGGGGTCTCAACTTACGAATGACCCTACTTGCGAACAATTCAACTTACGAACCCGCCCTATAGGGAAAATAAGGATTCGACATATGTACTTCTCTCAAGTTATGAACAGGAAAAAAGTGCCCCCTCCCTCCCCTTAGAGGCTTCTGGAGGGGACAAAAGGGTCAGAAACTTAAAAATAAATAAAAGAAAGTCACTTACCAGGCCTTGGTAGTCCCCAAACAGCAGAAAAAAGAGCAGGAAACAGCTAAAAGCCCACACCAGAAGGGAGCCTGGCAGCCATTTTGTGCTCCCCCCCCTCCTGCACCCTCCTCTCCCTGCCTATCAGCTGATTGGCTGGCTCTGAAGAGGCTTGGGGAGGCTTGCTCAGCACCTAAAAAGCCTGCCTGTGTTTCTTTGTGCTGAAAGAATCAGCACAACATGCTTTAAAACATGATTTAAAATTGGCTTCGTTGAAAAAAAAGATTTCTAAAGTGCTTTGCAAACTGTTCCCTGCCTTCCTCCTAGTTTCCTGAACCTAAGGGGAAAAAAAGAAAAAATATCCCCCTCTAGTGGCAGAAGGCGGAATAGCAGCTTCCCATTAGTTTCTATGGA